AAAGTATCACCTGCATTATTCATCATGCCAATGTATAAAAAGTTCTTTAAGAAGTGATCTACCTTATTTGTCACATGGAGTCTTTGTATCTGTATATGGACCGGTCCCGGACCGGTCCTCTTATCGGTCCCATGGTCCTTATCGGTCCCAGTCCGGTCCCGGTCTGGACCGGTCTTTTTTAGGACCGGGTGCATCCCTACTTTTAGGCACGGAGAATAACATATTTAAAACCAACTACTATTTATAAATAGGGTTTAAAAATGCGTCGACCTAATAACAATTTTTTTATTTTTCATTTTTTTTGATCTAAATAAAATTTTAAAATTTTAGAGTAAATGCAAATCGTTATTCTGAATTACTACGCCAAGTTTAATTTCCTTATCATTATCAATGTCAGGAGTGTACGTACGTACCTTTTACGAAATTCTACCCATTAGAATCTGACTATTTGACCTGACCAATTTGACCAATTTGACCAGTCTGGTCCAAGAATTTTATTGTCAAATTGGTCAAAAAGTAATTTAGCTATATAACGATAATATTTATACATATAATAGACTTGACCAATTTGACCAGACCATTTTGACCAGCAAAGTTTTGGTCGACCACTAATTTTAACAACACTGATTAGAATATATTGTACATAGATCCTAGTTTCTGTTATATCGAGAGATAAGAGTTATATATCTCCCAAAAGTTTTACATCATATAGCGATAGTGCTGACATCGCCCCATAGGTTTTTTTCAGCTAGCACTCTAGATCTGTCCTAGCGCTAGATTGTGTAAGCGTGATATTTTAGCAATTATGTCAATTCACGTGATTTAAGATATACACTTGATAATCTACCTAATTACAAAATTTTTCTCGTTAGATTTCGTGATTCGCATTTTTTTTTTTTTCCTTACTATTTCAACTATAAATAATAAAATGTATAGTCCAAGACTTGGACTTGGTATACCTTTTCGTTCTTCACTGAATATTGGGCGTAAATCGGTATGAAATCTTCTCACTCGGTCTTCGTCGCGTATTATGAAAAACAATTATGAATTTCACGAATTTATTTTTTTGAAAAAAAAAAAATTCATTTTTAGTTTTTAAAGGCCAATAAACCAAACTTTATTCCGCGCAAATTAAAGCATGTTCGATAATTTTTTCAAATTTCACTAATGCTATTAACTAAAAAATATTATGTATAATAACCTTTCTTAATTTTTCCTCGAATTAGCAGTTCAAAAGTACAAGGACATGTCATTGGAATTGATTTAGGCACAACTAATAGTTGTGTGGCTATTATGGAAGGAAAAACACCACGTGTAATTGAAAATGCTGAAGGTGGTCGAACTACTCCGTCAGTAGTTGCTTTTACTAAAGAAGGTGAATTACTAGTCGGATTACCTGCTAAACGTCAGGTGATTAAATCAGTTGAAACAAAAGTTTTACTAAAATCAAATATTTAACGAATCTCATATATTACGAATTTGTTATATCTATGCGCAGTTTTACCTAAAAGAATTTTTTTTATTAGGCTGTGGTAAATCCGGAAAATACTTTTTTTGCCACTAAACGGTTGATCGGACGTAAATTTAAGGATTCTGAAGTACAAAAAGACATTGGTCATGTTCCATATAAAATTGTTGAACATTCAAATGGTGACGCGTGGTTAGAATCTCGAGGTAAAAGGTATAGTCCTGCTCAGATTGGTGGGTTCACCGTTGGTAAAATGAAGGAAACAGCAGGTACGGAATGTTAATATTTTATAGTGAATTTATCAAATTATGATCGTAGTAATAAAATTCATAAAAATTCGAATAATTTAACTTTATAGAATCTTACCTAGGAAAACCTGTGAAGAATGCAGGTAAGGATCTCGCTTAATTTTATTATATTAAAATAAATATGATAAATATTAAATTAATATTTATTATTATTATTATACGGATAGTCATTACTGTACCAGCTTATTTTAATGACTCTCAACGTCAAGCCACAAAAGATGCGGGTCAAATCGCAGGTTTAAACGTACTCCGTGTTATAAATGAACCAACAGCTGCTGCGCTCGCTTACGGACTTGATAAATCTGGAAATAATATTATTGCTGTTTATGATTTGGGTGGTGGTACTTTTGATATTAGTATTTTGGAGATTCATAAAGGAGTTTTCGAAGTCAAGTCAACCAACGGGAACACTCACTTGGGTGGTGAAGATTTTGATAGCAAATTGGTTAAACATATAGTTGATTCATTCAAAAAAGAGGTTTGCTTCTCAATTATTTTATGTATTAATTTTTTTTAATTATTTTAACAATATTCTTTTTAACACTTTATAAATAGGAAGGTGTTGATTTATCAGGTGATCGCATGGCAATTCAACGTATTCGCGAAGCAGCAGAGAAAGCTAAAATTGAATTATCATCAACACTTCAAGTCAGTGATTGAGTTAAAATCTTTATATTTTTACAAAAATATGTTAAATCACTTAACTTTGTCTTATCCAAATATCTAGACAGATATCAATCTTCCATTTATTACCGCTACCAACACTGGCCCCAAACACATCAGTATGAAATTGACTCGCGCGACTTTCGAATCTTTGACGAAGGATCTCATTGAGATGACTATTCTACCTTGCAAACAGGCTCTCAAAGATGCTGGCGTAGAAACAAGGGAAATCAATGAAGTAATATTAGTTGGTGGTATGACGCGTGCGCCTAAAGTTATAGAAGTGGTGAAAGCATCGTTTAACCGCGAACCTACAAAGAGTGTAAATCCTGATGAAGCAGTAGCAATCGGTGCTGCAGTTCAAGTAATTTAACATTTTTGCTTTAACTATCAAGGAAACTTTTAAGATTTTTTTATTGGCTAATTATAGAATAATATTTTAGGGTGGTGTACTTGCTGGTGAAGTTACTGATATATTGTTATTAGACGTTACTCCGTTATCTCTGGGAATCGAGACTCTTGGAGGCGTATTTTCACGACTAATCCATCGAAATACTACGATCCCAACAAAGAAATCACAAGTTTTCTCAACGGCTGCGGATGGTCAGACAAAGGTTGAGATTAAGGTATACCAAGGTGAAAGGGAATTAGTTAGTGGTAACAAGTTACTTGGCAACTTCCAATTGGATGGAATTCCACCCTTGCCTAAAGGTGTTCCTCAAATTGAAGTTACATTTGATATCGATGCCGATGGTATTGTAAATGTTAGTGCGCAAGACAAGGCAACCGGAAAGGATCAATCCAGTAAGTGATTTCAGCAATTAGTATATCGTACAATAATTGCATATGTTATATTGATCTTTTATACTTTAATCAGTCACTATTACTGCACAATCTGGTTTGAATAAGGATGAGATTGAAAATATGATTCATGAAGCCGAACGTCATGCTGAGGCAGATCGTGAAAAGAAAGAATCTATCGAAGCACTTAACCGTGCTGACGCTGTGATTAGTGATATAGAGAAGAGTATGACTGAATTTAAAGATCAATTAGATGCAACAGAAGCAGAAAATATCAAATCACAGATCCAGTCATTGCGTGATTTGACGACTAAAGCGCAAAGTGGTGAAGATGTTAAAGCAGATGAGATTAGTGCTAAGATTTCGGAATTACAAAATAGTAGTCTGAAATTGTTTGAAATGGCTTATAAGAAGGCAAGATTTTTTGTTGTTGCATTTTGGTTAATATTCATGAAAGTCATTGACTTATATAATTTATATTTTTCTTTAATTAGCGGAGTGCGGACAATCCGCCACCAGACTCATCAGACGATAACAAAGGTGATAAAGAAAACAAAGAATAGTATATCGGATAGTTAATGGGAATTCGGATAGACTCTTTACATTTTATTAATCCGATTATTTGTACAGTGTGAATTTTGATTTAAAAAAATATATAAATAATTGAACATTATACACCAACTGGTACTCGATGTAGTCTGTGTAATCAATTGAGGCGAAGTCATTAATGACTCATTTAAAATACTGAAAATAATATTGAATATTCATGATTGGTACCTTTTCTTATTGTCGTTACTAATCCTGCACCAGTTCTTGATCTTATTCTCCGTCCTCTAGCAGTAAATAATTCTATAATACGTTCAGTCTTTTTTGTGGCGATTTATGTAAATGGCTAATTAAATGGCTTAGTTAATTTAAACTAGAATTTTTTTTTTAAACTATATAGATGTAAATTGGACATATTTGGGCATGTAACTTGCGCGTATTGCATTTCGCTCGTATTGTTACGAAGCTATAATATAATTAGAATGTCTTGTAGCAATAATAGCAAAGTCGATGTAATCACGATAGGACGGAATGGGCCGGAGCTAGGCCGGCATTAAGTAATAAAACCAACAGCAACCACCTACTCTTAGGGTGTAATTTTGTAAGAAACGTGATCTTACTTCCATATGATTGGTTGGATCATACGTGCATCGATTTGCAGTAAACTTTATGATTATACATAACTTTATGCAGGGTCTATTGTGTTACATAAATTACAATTTTACATTACGTAACGGTAAGTTTCAGAAAATTAAATTTTCACACGGCATACATGAAACACCAGATTTACAAATTTTCGGCAGCATTATTGCATTTTTGATAACTCCGAAAATTTGATCTCAGAAGCTAAATGTCATGTGTTCAAAATTACAAATACATGAAATTTCAATTTACCGAATCTTACACAAAATTACGTAAAATTACGTAAAATTACTGAAATTTAACAACCCGCTGGCTGTTTTTCATAGTGCTGGTACTATTTATCGCGTGTGAAATTCAAGTTACTGAAACTTACGCAATTTTCAAGCCTAACTACATAACTATACTACAGTAAAATTATCATCTAGGCGCTTTACTTAATATGTGGGCTACCATTTTATTCAGTTAGTAAAATTTTGTGTGATTCTTGGAGAAATCTATCAATTCCGCCTATTCCGACCCGGTTTGTTGATTTTGGCCGCGCAGCTGATCTATTCCAACAGAAATTAAATAAAGGAGGATTTACGAATAAAAGTAAAAACAATTACAAATATGCAAATTAGTAATTATAAATAAGGAAAGAAAATTTATTGTTATAACAAACCATTATGATGTCAAGTAAAGCACTGTGAATTGGTATGACGTTTACTAATATGGAAAATATTCGTTCAGCTCTAGAGAGCTACCCTTATAAATAATTGTGCTAGTTTAAGGTTTTTTTTATATATATAAATAATTGTGCTAGTTTAAGGTTTTTTTATATAATATTTAATTATTTTATTTTATTTTTTTTTATTAACTAGCCTTTTTGGGCTAAGGTTTTTTATTTAAGTATTATTGGGTAGGAGGCTTATAGCTTTTAGCCTCAATGAAGCCCCTTATTAGAAAGTACATACTAGCCACACATACACTTTTGGTGTTTATTTTAAGTAGTTCACCTACAATTTACATTATAGGTTTTACACTAAATACTGTATCTATAACCCAAACTATGGGTGTTATCTATTTAAACCCTCCGTAATATAACAAGATCCTAAACATTTTATAGACAAATAAGATTTTAGTTTGCTTATTTCAGACTATTTTTTTGTTGATTTTTTCTATTTATAAGGTAAAGATACCTATTCCCAATGATTTTTTTTGCTACATATAAAGCTTTTTTAAAAATTAATATAAAATTTACAATTAATTTATTATTTAAAAATATACAAATTAAATTATATTAATATATAAAATTTTTTTTAGTATTAGTAAAGAAAAATTTTATAAAATTTATAAAATTTGATATTTTTTTCCTATTTCTATAGTTACAATAAAAATTTAAAAAAATTTTAAAAAAATTTTTTTATTTAATTATTTTTATATTGTTTTTTTTTTTTACTATTTTTTATTTTATTATTTATTTATTTATTTTCTAAAACTTTTATTAATTAAATAAGTATAATTTTAAGAAAAATTTCTTATAATCTTTAAAATATAAAATTGAAATTTCTAAAATTATTTATTAAGTAAACAGTTTTTTAGAATTAATAAATTTTGTAGCCACTATCAATATTGTTCTAATAATAGTAAAAATATTAAATTCAGTTTAATAGATCAAAAGTTATAGGGTCATTTATAATTTACTTTACAGAAACTAGCTAATTTTTTTTATTGAATTATTATAATCTTAAAGATTATAATAAAATTATCAAATTATATCTTATTATAATCTTATAATACTCATAAAAATCTTACTGTATAATAATCTTATAATCATCTTATAATAATCTTATCTTATTATTATTTTAAAATAATCTTAAAATAATCTTTAAATAATCTTATAATAATCTTATAATAATCAAAAAAAATCTTAAAAAAATCTTTAAAAAATCTTAAATAAATCTTAAAAAATTCATATAATAGTCTTAAAAATAATCTTATAATAATCTTATCCCTTAAACTGTAGGCTTTTCCAGGCAAATTTGCCTGGAAAATTATTATAAATATTATTATGATCTATTTTTTTTAAATTCTAATATATTTAAATAAATTTTTTTTAATAATATTTGAAAATAAGGATTATATTATAGCAGTATTTAATTTTATATTATAAGAAAAAAGTCTTAGTTACTTATA